CATGGTATAGTCTTTACTCTGGTTTTATTCTAATAGTCTTCAAGGTTTTTTTATTTTATTTTATGTGTATGCATGTATTGCCTGCATGTAGGTAAGTGCAACTGTGTCGTGCACAGAGGTCAGAAGAGGCTGTTGGATGCCCTGGGACTGGAGTTATAGACAGTTGTTAGCTCCTATGTGGGTGCTGGGATTTGAACCTGGGTCTTCTGCAAGAACAACAAGTGTTCTTAACTGCTGAGCCATCTTTCCAGCCCCTTATTATTTTTATGTTATGTGTATGCGTGTATTGCCTGCATGTAGTGAGTGCACCCATGTTGTACAGTGTCTGCGGAGGACAGAAGAGGTGTTGGATCTCCTGGAACTGGAATTATGGGCAGTTGTTAGCTGCCATGTGGGTGCTGGGATTCGAACCTGGGCCTTCAATAAGAACAACCAGGATTCTTAACCACTGAGCCAAGATTTTTTTTTTAAAACAAAGTAGTTACCAAGAAATAAGAATTTTGTGACTGGTTTTATCTTTTCCTTAAGGAAGCCTATCTAAATTATAAGTTCCATAAAATCAAGGTCCATGTCCAATGCAATTTATTTTTCTCATTGTTCTTGGCAGAGTGCTGAATGGTTAGTAAGGACTCAATAAATAGTCTTTATTATATCTATGTACTAAAGGTAGAGCATTACCTGTTTAGATTTAACCATGTCATCCGATGATTTCTGCTGTTTGTCTAAATCATCAGAGGAACGGGCAGTTGATTCACATAGCCTCCCTCTTTTTCTCTCTGCCCTCCAATAATTCCAGCTTAAGAAGTCTGGACTTACACTATAGTATTTGGCGTTTCACAAAAAAAATGAGTTAGCAAACATTAGAGATTCTTTTTCAGAGTGGAAAATATTTCCTCCACAATGTTCTTTCTGTTTTAGGAGTTTGATTTCAGCCTTTGGTCCCCCAAACCCCTTCTGGTCTGAGGCTGAGGGTACAACATGGTAGTGGAGCACTTGTCTAGCATGCACAAGGCCCTGGGTTCAATCCTCTGCCCCAAAAAAGGAATCAGAATTCAGGGCCAGCAGGATGGCTCAGCAGATAAAAGCACTTGCTGTGCAAGTGCCATGACCTGAGTTCTATCCCCAGAATCCAGGTTGAAAAAAACAGCCAGATGTGATAGGGCACACCTGTAATCCCAGCATTCCTGTGGCAAGATGGAAGGCAGAAGCAGGAGAATTGCTGGAAGCTCTCAGGGAAACAACCTAGAGTTCACAGAGCAGCAGAAACAGTGAGAGAGACTGCCTAACAAGGTGGAATAAGTCAGTGCAGGTGAAAAAAAGAATTCTGCCCACTGTCTCCCCACTACCTTAGGAATCCATTTCTTAGTTTTGTCTTGTAGATGTGTCCCAATACACATAACACAAAAAGTTACCAATTTAACCTTTTTTTTTCTTTTAGAGACAGGGTCTCCCTGTAGACCAGGCTGGCCTCGAACTGAGAGATTCTTCTGCCTCTGCCTCCCGAGTGCTGGAATCAAAGGCATGAGCCACCACACCTGGCTATTTTAACCATTCTTTATTCATATTTTTCTTATTATTTTTATTTTATTTTATGTATATGAGTGTATTACCTGCATGTGGGTGGGTGCCTATGTTATGAGATACCTGCAGAAGTCAGAAGAGGGCTTCAGATTCCCCTGGAGCTCAAATTACAGACAGTTGTTAGCTGCCGTATGCTAACATGGGAATCAAACCTGGGTCCTCTGCAAGAGCAACCAGTGCCCTTAACCGCTGAGCCATCTCTTCAACCCTTACTTTTAACCATTCTTAAATGTATAATTCAGTGGTGTTCAGTACATTCCCAGTGTTGGGCAGCCATCACCACTATCTCTAGAACTTTGTTCACCTTCCCAAACAGTATCTCCCCATTCCTTGTCTCCCCAGCCTGTGGTCACCACCATTCTACTGTCTGTCTCTGTGAATGAACTAGCCCAGGCACCTGATATTCATGCAGTCGCAGACACAAAACCCCCTTCTCTCCACACTCTTCATTTTTGTTGTTGTTTGTTGTTTTTTAGACAGGATCTTGCATGTAGTCCAGGCTAGCACCAAACTCACAAATCTGCCACAGCCTCCATAAGGGAGGGACTGCAGACATGCAGCATGGCCTGGAGAGAGAGGAAAACAGAAACTCTCTCTTGTTTATCTAGTCATCCCTCAATAAACTCCTGGGTTTCTTTCACCTTTGCATGTCTCTTGATGGGAAGAAGGAGGATGGTGCCAGGGTAGCCATCCACACAGACACAGTGAGACTGGGACGTATGCTGCTAATGCTGTGGTGGCCTCTCAAGGCGCTGTCTACTCTAAATAGCATACTGTAGTGTCCATCTTAGGGGTAAGCCCTAACTCTGGCGCTCCAAGTCAAGACCAAGAAAATGACCTCAGATTAGGGATCTGCAAGAATTTGGCACTACTTGATACATAGAAATAAGTGCTCTACAATGTTTAAGTGCTTGAGTATAGATGCACTTCCATTCACAAGTCTCCAAAACTGGAAATACCCCTTTTGAAACAAAAGAACAATTTGTGAGGACCAGCGAGATGGCTCAGTGGGAAGGGCACGTGTTGCCTCCTGCATGACCGGACTTTAATCCTGGGAACCCATGTAAAGGTGGACAGCGAGAACTAACTCAACAAGGTTGTCCTCTGACCTCCATGTCTTTGTGCAGTGAGTGACACGCATTTCTCAGACACATACACACTCAAATAGTCCTTTTAAAAAATTGTGATATGGGGGCTAGAGAGATGGCTCAGTGCTTAAGAACACTAAATGTTCTTGGAGAAGACCCAGGTTCGAATCCCAGCACCCACATGACAGCTAACAACTGTCTGTAACTCCAGTTCCAGGGGATCCAACAGCCTCTTCTGTCTTCCGCGGGTATTGCACGACACGGGTGCACTTACCTACATGCAGGCAATGCACACATACACATAAAAATAATAAAGTAGTTTTTAAAACTGTGATATAGTCACACAATGGAATATTTTATGCAATAAAAATGAACGAACTAACCTGGTTGTGGTGGCGCACGCTTTTAATCTTAGCACTCAGGAGGCAGAGGTAGGTGAATCTCTGTGAAGGCAAGGCTAGCCTGATCTACATAGTTCCAGGCCAACCAGGGCTACACAGTAAGACCCTGTCTCAAAAACATAAGCAAAATTCTGGGCTAGAGAGATGACTCAGCAGTTAAGAGCACTGGCTGCTCTTGCAGAGGACCTGGGTTTGGTTCCCAGCACCCAGTTGGCAGCTAACAACCGTCTGCAACTCAGGTTCCAGGAAACCTGATGCCCTCTTCTAGCCTCCATGAGCACTGCACACACATGTTGCACTTGCATTCAGGCAGGCAAAACACTCATACATACAAAATAAAAACAAATCAAAAAACTGTTTAAAAGTTTAATGAACTATAGATACATATCAAATATAAATCTTAGAAGCTATACATAAAAAATATATACTATGTTTTTCCATTTGTAACATTTAAAAGTAGAGTGAAGCCATTTCTGTTTAGGGATGCATAATAGGTACCAGTACTTTTTTTTTTAATTTTAATGGAAATGGAAACGAATCCCCTAAAAGTTGGAATACTGGTTGTCACTGGCTGGTGGCGGTACATGAAGGGGAAAGGGTGTGCTGGGGCAGCTGGAGGGGGATGAAGATCCTGTGGGTGTTCTTTTACACCAGCTTCTGTTTTATTACATATTTATTTATTATGTGTGTCTCTGTGTGTGTCTGTATGTGTCTCTTTGTGTGTGTGTGTCTATACATGCATGTCTGGAGGTGGGAGGACAACTTCGAGAATCAGTTCTCTCTTTCCATCATGTGGGTCCCAGGGATCGAACTTGGTTGTTGTCAGGTTTGGCAGCAAGCACCTTTACCCACTGAGCCATCTCACTGGCCCCTATATTAGTTTCTTAAGTTTGAATTCTCCAGAGGAAAAATTAGAAAAAGTCACATGACATAACCATACACCCGGATCTCTCACTTTCTGTTTAATTGATGGGAAAGATCCAACTGGCCCAGTCTTGAGCATGCTAGAAAAGAACTGTAGATTCCGTGCTAAGGGATCCTGGTTACTGGCTTCCTGGGCTCTGTAGCATAGAGAGGTGGACTCTGCAGTCCACTCAGGCCCACTCTACTTACAGTGTCCAGAGTCCCCAGTGCTGCGCTTCTGAAAGTTCATTGCTGACAACAGCCGGGTGTTGAGAAGTGGGGAAGCAAATAAGCCACTCTTTGCCCCATGCAGGAACTCAGGGTATCCCCACCCACACAGCTGCCTTCTCTTGAGCCAATAGAGATGAGCAAAGCTTTGACCAGCTTCTAAAAGGAATTTCTTTATTCACAGACTTTCATCAAATTTCCATGGTAAATTATTTCATTAGCAGCTGTTAAATTGAGACAGTGAACAGCTTCCCCTAGTGCTCAGGTTTTGCTAAGAGCTGAAACCCATCCCTTGTATGTTGCTGCCTTTGGTGATTCCTTAATTAGCTTAAGTCTAAAGGCTTAGCTGGCCTGTGAGCAGACTAGTAAAGGGAAGTCCAGACTCTGCTACCATGTCTTAAGATGGGTAGCAGATAAGGTGCTGCAGCCCGCTGAGGAAGTGTCACGATAGGCAGGGTGGGTAACTGGAAGCACAGCTAAGTACTTCCATTAAGGGTGCCCGCCATCACTATACGCAGCTTTCTGTCAGACTTTTCAAGTAGGGGAAGCGGCTAGCCAGTTTGCTTTCCTCAAGGTAACACTCTAGAATTTTCTTCTTGTTATGTACAAATTTGCTGTTCCCTGACTTCTGTATTCAGTTTCTGTTCTAGTCATGAGCTCAAATTTCCTGACATAGATGTGAATAGCTGCCTGATTGTTTTCTGGGTTCCTCCCTTCCTCCCTCCCTCTATTCCTCTCTTCCTCCCTCCCTCCCTCCCTCTTCCTGCCCTTCCCTACCTTGCTATCTCTCCTCTTTCAGGGCCTGACGTTTCAGGAAGTGGAGAACTTCTTTACTTTCCTGAAGAATATCAATGATGTGGACACCGCGCTGAGCTTTTACCATATGGCTGGAGCATCTCTCGATAAAGGTAATGAAACCCAAAACTTTCTTTCTTGAAAGTTTAACATTGACTCTGCACTCTATTACATGAATGCCCTTCCTTCAAATGCCAGCTTTTCTTGGCATTGTCAATTGATTTACTTTGTTTTCTGGGCATTGCATGAGCCTTGCATTTCACCTTGAGGTGCCAAGCTCAGCAAATATGTTTCTTTCTACTGACAGCTGCAGACAGGGCAGATGCCCATGTTGAAGTGTTTAGCCTTGGAAACAGGCACTGGAGCAAGGCCAGAGCTGTGGAACCTCTCTCTTCTGAGTTAATCAGGGCCTGTGTAATCAGAGGCAGAAGTTGCTTTGCAATTAGAGGCTTTGATAAGAAGGAATGGTTTGATTAGGATTTTTGCTTTCAATGGTTATATGTTTTTAAGAATGAAAAGAAGAAAGTCTTAAATTGACCGGCTATTTACCATTCTGAGTGCTTGTCACCTATCCTTGAATATCCAATTGTTCATCTGGTCTAAAGAATTTCTTTTATCGTTTTTTTGTAGTTCAGTAAAGTTCCTGCATTCTTAGTCTGAGACTATCTTTATTTCCACTGTAGGAAGCTACAGTGTGTACTTTTAAGTCTCTCCAAAGCATGACTGGAGTTTTAGAAACACAGTCTGGCTTATTCAGCACTTTTTTAGTAAATGCCTTAAGATTTTCTAATGCAAGATCATGACTCTAACTTATATGTGAAATCTTAAAAAATAACCGAACTCATAGAAACAAGTAGAATGTTGTGTGCCAAAGGGGTTCACAGGAGAGCAGTTAAATGGGGAGATTGACCAAAGGGTACAGATTTAGTTATGCAGGCTGAGTTGATTCTAGAGAACTAATGTACAGCATGGTGACTCTGGTTACTAACGCTGTATCTTGTACCTGAGATTTGCTGAGAGATCATAAGTGCTACTACTATACACACAAAACGATAAATGTCTGAGGTGATAGAAATTTTCGTTTGGAAGGTGAGCATGGTGGCCCATACCTATAATCAGTACTCAGTAGCAGGAGGATCCTGAGTTCATGGCCAGCCTGGTCTACATAGCAAGACCCTATCTAAAAGAAAAAAAATGCTAATTAGATTGATTGCTGTAATTATTTCAGTGTATTATATATCAAAACATCATGCTGTACCTCTTAAATATAGACAACTCTTGCCTGGCATGGTTGGTGCACACCTTCAGTCCAAGCACTCGGGAGGCAAAGTCAGGAGGATCTCTGTGAGAACAGTGCCAGCCTGGTCTATAGCAAATAGCAAACCAGCTGGGGCTACAAGGAGACCTTGTCTCAGAAACAAACTAAAAAAGATCATTCCATTTTCAAATAGAAATCACCTTATTTCTTCCTTTCCAATCTGAATCCCTTTTATTTTATGAATTTACATAACTTTTTTAATTGTATTTTTATTTTATGTGTATAAATGTTTTGCCTGCATGTACGTAAGCGTACCTCCTGTGCAAACAGTGCACATAGAGGCCAGAAGAGGGCATCAGATCCTTGGAATTGGAGTTAAGGATGGCTGTTAGCTGCCATATGGGTGCTGGGACCTGAACCTGGGTCCTCTCCAAAAACAACTAGTGCTCTTAACTGTTGAGGCATCTGTTCAGCCCCTCACATAGCTTCTTTAAATAGCATTTTTTTTGTTTGTTTGAAATAATCTCTCATCTTTGTAGACTTTTTTTTTTTTGGCAGGGGGGTGGCATCACAAGGATGTTGTAAGGAGGTTGTGTCTCCAGATAAGCTTTGATTGTATTACTGTTTCAGCAAAACAGGATTAGATAGCAATATGAAAATCAAAAAGGTAAGATTTAAAGTCAAAAGTTACAAAAATAGAATTAATAAGTGCCTCTAGATTTCCCTTTTTTTCTCAACTAAAGCCAGCATAACCACTTTAAAGAACAATGTATAGAATGAATCACCATCTGTGTTAAAATTATAGGGTATACAAAATACAATGATTCAGGGTAGTGGTAGCAAAGGGAAATTCAACCTTGTTATTAAAAAGGAGAAAAAAAAGTAGAAGCATTTCTTCCAAATGGCTTCAGGCCATTTCCCAAGTGAAGTTTTCACCAGTATCTACTCCACATCTTGGAAATGGAGGTGGGGGGGGCATTTACACAGCCATGCTTGACCTGCCACAATGCATCTGGCTTTGAGATTTGTGGTGCTGTGCCATTCGCTGACTTTGACTTCTTGGTTTGTTTATCTGATTTCATTGTGTCCTCTGAGTGTACAGTGATAGATATGGACAGGTTACTGGCCTAGCTTTGTGCTAAGGAACAGAGAAACCGCATGCCTTTATTTCCCAGAACTGCTATTTTTTTTTTTTTTTTTAATTTTTAAAGGCCACAAACCACAAACTTGATTTAAAGCAACCAAAATTCGTTCCCTGACAGTTGAGTTTTAAAGGCATGGTGTCTGAAATTAAGAGTTGGTAGGACCACGTTCCCTTCAAAGACTTGGTGGAACATCCTCCCTTGCCTTTCTAACTCCCGGTGGCTCTAGGTGCTCCATCTACAAAGACTATGTCCACCCTCCCAACATCACCATCTAGTGTCATGTCGTCTTCTTATTATAGCATATCTCACTATTATATTTACATGTTCATTTTCTGCCATACTTTACTAAATACATCTTGCTGATTCATTCCATATGCCTAGAGCAACACCTGACATAAACTAGTTCTACGTGATTTATAGGCCTTTACTTCCCTCTCCACAGAACTGTGTGAGATTTCACTACAGATCTGAACCCCAGAAAGAGGAAGAAAAGTGTAGTGGTTAAGCATACAAGCTCTGGGCTGGGAATATAGTTCAGTTGGTAAAGTACTTGCCTAGCATGTGCAAAGCCCTGGATTTGGTCCCCAGTACCATATGGTGACCCACGAGTGTTATCCCAGCACTTAGGCAATAGAAGCAGAATTAGAATTTCATGGTCGAAGTAGAATTTCAAGGTCATCCTCAATTACATAGTATGTTTGAAGCCAGCCTGGGATATGGGAGACCCTGTCTTGAAAGAACACAGGCACTGATCTAACACTGTCCAAGTTCAAGTATTTGCTGCCATCATTTCTAACTGGGTAGCACTGGGCCATTTCTGAATTTAGTTTCTATTTTAAAGTAAGGATAAAGACACTGACCTCCAAGGGTTTTATGAGGATAGATCTACATAAAGTGCTCTTAACCTTGTGCCTGCCTTCCAGTGAGCATTTTAAGAAATGTCAGGTGCTTCTGTCATGAAGCTGACAATACAAACAGGTAGACTTATCTCTGTATTCTGCACAGTCTGCTTGGCACAGGGCTCTACTCGTAAGAAGCTCACAGTAACCAGGGAGAGAAGTGTGTAACAATCCAGGTTTGTGGGGTAAGGGCTAATTAGCCATAGATCTAGAACTTAAACATGAAGCCCTGACATGTGCTGTGGATGTGAGCAGAGGAGGCGTGGGGGCACCAGCACTCTGCCTGGCCTCTCTTCTCAGTCTCAGCCATATTCATTTTTTCCAGACCTTCAGAAATTGGCACCTTTTAGAGACCCTGGCACTGTTTCATCCTTGGCTAGTTCCAAGCTTACAAACTAATCTTGAGACATAATTTAGCACAGTTTCCCAAACATCGTATACTGCAATATGTTAATGATTCCTCTGTAGGTTTTATAAGAAGAAAAGTGTTCCAGGGTCCAAATAAGTTTGAAAAATGTAGAGTTGCACAGAATTTCTCCCTGCAGCACTACTCCTGCAGGCTTTTAATAAGCTAATTTGAGTTATTAATCTCCAAAAGAGGGATATGATTCCCAAACTTGATTTGCTACAAAATATTATTGACCACCTTACAGAACTAACGTTCCTCTGAACAGTCCCAGAGGTCCAGGCAGGCAGCATCTACAGAGGTACCATCAGAGAACATGATTCGGTCCTAAAATTGGAAGTGTCATTGAAGCTGTTTCTTTGGTTTGTGTGGACCCTGTGTTAGCAACAACCAGGTAAGAGTGAAGAGTCCCTGGTGAATTCTGACCACCTGAAGAAACGGTCACCATGCAGTACTGTGGGTTCCACTGTGGGTCATCTCTGTGGTTTAGCTCTTAAGTGCAGCCAGCTCTATTGGTCATTCACACACATAAAATTAGATCTATTACCTCTGATGGGCTGTCTGAATTATTTCAGTAATCTGTTGAAGGAGGTAACAGGAAATTGAGCACGACTTTTTCCCTCATGCCATCCTATGATGAAGTAGTTAAAAGTTCTTGAGCTGGAGCTCAAGAATGAGCTATGGCCTATAAATCTCAAAGCATGCTGTTCTCTACCAAGAGAATAAAAAGGATTCCAGGTATAGGAAAGGCCCAGTGTGAGGCGCCTCTAGATACTAGATTTGGTAAAGTTGCAGGTCCAGTGTCCTCCAAGTATTCTGACTATAATACAGGAAAATAATTACAAATAAAGTCCATGGTCTTTATTACTCAGACCCCAGCACAAATCTACTTTGAAAGTTTGAGTTAATAACATAGTTATCCTTCATGTTTTCCCTCATTTGTACGTAGTTTCGCTCACTGTCTCACAGGTCAAGAAAATAACCCCTAAATTTGTGGCATAACCCTGGCAAGATGCTCTTGGCAACCCCAAGGGTTATCTTTGAAGTATGTCTCATCAGATGATTCCAGTTTCTTTCATCTCTGGGGTGACTTGGATCACAGTGATGACCTCTAAGAACCTCTGTGGCTTTCAAATTCTCTGAATCAAAACAATTTAGAGTAAAAGTCGCAATCTTTTGCCTTTAGGTCCCTACTGGGTTGTTGGAGGAGTCAGAAATTACTGATGGAGTAAGCAGTTTCTAGTACACTACCAACTCATATATTCTGAACACGTTAGATGAATAAGCTGGTACCTCTCCTGAGCATAAGCATGCCGCAGTGTTGTCCTTTCCTGGACTCGGAGGCCATCACACATCTGGAACTCTGACAGCAATGCATCATTTCATAGCAACTTCCATGATAGTC